GGAGGCTTTCCCTTTATTAAGGAATCATGGTTTTTCTTGATGAATCTGCTATTACTATTTAACGTGCGAAGACAAAGTTCTGAAGCAATAAGTAACTTTGAGGGACCCTGAAGCACCGCACGGCCCAGAAGTAAAAGTGGGCTATAGCTTACCACCGACTTTCCCGCCTAGAACAGCTCTTCGGGGAGGAACGTTTCCTTTCGGTGACGTCCCATCAAGGCCACCCAATCTAGCGACTGGGCGTATCTGCTAGAAAGCTCGAGACGTGCACGGTGCACGCCTGCGCTCTGCAAAGCTATATAAATTAGAGACAAGGCGTTCTTAGTTTCTGGCAGGGCGGGGATTTAATCTGTGGAAGGGTGAGCAGGGTGGTGCCGGTTAGAGGCGTAACACCACCCGCAGCGGCACGTGCCGCTTGTTTCCTCCCTGATCCTTCTGGTTGGTGGCCTGGGGATCCCCACGTGCATGCCTGCGAAGAGGAAGAAAAGCATCGGCGGCAGATGCGTGACCGTGTGTTTTTTTGCCTGCGAGCTGGGGACTCTCCTGCTGGTTTTGCCGCATCGCCAGCTGCGGAGCTCTCGCTCAGCTCCCGAGCACCCTCGGCGGCTGCTATGCTGTGGAATAGCTTGGACTGCGCTGCAAGCTCTGCTCCTGTGCCCTCCGGTGCCTTCTTCCTTCTTCATGACTACCCCGCCGGTGGCGGCAACAGCCGTCCTGGGGAGGGTCATGGCCCCTGGGCCTCCTGAGCACGCTGCCTTGGCGGCGGATCCCCCCGTGAACGCGGCTAGTGGGATCCAGGAGCCCCAGGCAGTGCTGCCTGCTCAGAGGACGGTTCCCTCCGCCGCCTGCCCGGCGATTCCCGCGGGCAGCGCCGCTAGATTTGTCCTGAATCCTGTGGGCACCAAGCTTCCCCTTAGTCTCGTCCCGTCCTTCGTTCCTCAACCCCGAGTGCTGCCTGCTCCCGTAGAAGGCAGGCTGGCGCTCCCGACTCCGGTTCAGCAGCTCCCCAAGTCCAGCTACAGGGGTGCGAGGCAGCCGGCCCCTCCCTCGGGAGGACCCAAACCCGCGCAAACGACGACAGTTCAGCTGCCTGCTAATTTTCAGATCCCCCAAGGTAAGCAGCGCTCTTTTTGGACCGTTTTCCGCGTCTTTATTATAGCCCTTCTGCGCGTCCCCATAGGCTGAGTTCAGAAGAGTAAGAGAGTTACGGTGAATTTTGAAGCGCCCTAATGATGCCAGGTACTGCGAAGTTTTACTCTCTGTGTGAGGCTTTTGTAAAAAACGAATATGTAAAATCGTGCGGAGGAGAGTAGCTTTTTCCGTGGCCAGCTTCCTATTTAGAAAGTTGTCTTTAAGATTTCTTGAGGAATATTAGGCCTTTTGGGGCGGGGGGTTCTTTCTTTCCTAAAGGAGGGGGAGAAAGAAAGTGTCGGGGCACTTAACATTTCTCAGTATGCCTTCATACATGTGTTGATATTATGCTAATTTATTCTATGTGGGTCTTCTAAGTTGCACTAAATTACTCCTCCAATTTGCGTCCACATTGTCTAAACCAAACTCTAGTACTTGGGCGGCTTCAGAGACTTTAGTTTTGCACACCTTCAAAAATACCCCAAATGTAGGACAACTCAGTTACACTCAGTTCTAAACGTTTTCTAATCCTAGCAGTGAATGTTGTATTCAGTGGAAAACTATCCACATCATATGTATCTTCTCTTTTGTCAGTGGTCACAATTGAAATGCGTATGATATAATGAAATACTGGAAATAAGGGTCAGGAATCTCAGTATGTGTTAAAATAATCT